AACCCCCCCCCCCCAAATGAGAGAAGGGGACGCATAAAGAAGGCAAGTTTGAAAAAAGGAAATTACTCCTATTTTGGACCACGGAGTATGGTACCCCCTGTAGAGGTGTTCCCTGCGTATCGATGGCGAAAGTTAGATAATGAGTTTCTTTATAACGACATCTAAAAGTTTTTGATTCTTTCGTAAGTCTTCATTCGCCCTCCCCTCCCCCCCCCTCCCATAAAGAAAACTGGCGAAGCTATCTCCTCAAAATTTACTGTAAATATTTTTGATAAATAAATTAAAATTCACAGAAAATCTCAAGAAAAACTTTCGGTTGTCCTAGGATGTCAAATTTGCTATGAGCCATTGGTGCATTCGAATAATTTGTTCAAAGGAGGGAAGGAGAAGCCCCCCCCCCCCCCCCCNTCTATATTATGGTCTGAAATTGTTTATTAAAGATACGCCTATTAATGTAAATATTCTCAATTTTTATCAGAGGGATGGGGAAGGGGCCAGGAAGCTTCTTATGTTGGCCTTTTCCTCTGAGAAACACTCTTGATTTGATACCTACTGACTTAGGTGCGCTTAAAAAATTCAATTAACTGAGCCTTCATTAACTAATCGCTTAGCTGTATAAGTACGGCCAATGTAGCCGCCCGTTCATTCCGTTATTTTGGTCCAAAAGGGGTCATTCCACGTGACCCACTAGCAGTCAAAACGATGAGGCGGCTCGAGCGTCATGAGTAACGCTATCTATTGGAGAGCTTTTAAGCTCAACAGATGTTGATAATATTTTTGTCCGCTAGGTAGCGCTAGCGTACATTCTAAACACATGCACCATGCACCAATTGCATGCACATGTTACTATTCTGCTTGGAGGAATTTGAATTTGTTTTGTTTACGATATCCGAGACCGAGAAGTCGGAAAAGTGTTACTTAGTTTTATCAGTTTCCTACACCCACATAACCGATTGATCTTAATCTTACTTTATCATTGCGTGTGATTTCAGGGCAAAGAGAATAAAAGGACAGTTAATATGCCGCTCAAGAAGCAGACAATGGAAATCTACAGACCGCCAAGTAAGGACTGACTGTTGACATTTTATCTCTTCCCTTCCCTTGGAGAATTTAAACTGTGCTTCTCTAGTGCTCACACTGATTTATTTAGCTAATTTTTAGCATCTGACTGTAGATTTAACAGTATTGAAGCATCAGTCAATGGATTCTAAACAGACCACCATGTTGTCTTTGCAATGTTGTAGAACTCATCGTAAGTATGCATGATTTTTGTGCATGCACCCCTTCGTCTCAAGCATTTCTCAAATCCTCTGACAACAATAAGTATTGACATGTCATCCGAATTTCATGAAAGTTATCAGAGTGATTTGGCTCCCTTTTAGAACTCAGCGTAGTTCCTCAAAGTTCTAAGATGACACAAGTCATCTATCAGCACCAATAAAAATAAGTATTGCCGTAATGCCCTGATCGATCAGTATGAGAATCAACCAACTTTAATCATCTATCTAATCTTAAGTACCCCGGAAAATTTTCCTAAAAATATTCCACCTCACTTAATGAACCAGATCACTTTTGCACCATGTGAGTAAGTGGTACCGATTGAAATATCAAATTTTCATTTTGAAAAGAAATGATGCACCGAAACCTGAGGGGTTTTGCCAAGGCATGCATATTTTTTCCAGTTTTATTCCAAATTAATGATCTAAGAATTTGACTTGATAAGCATAAGGTTCCCTCCCCAGTTTGGAGATATTCTGACTTGATAGAGTTGGTTGTTTGCTTTTTTAGACTGTGGACTTACCTGTAGTCCAAGTGTATCAAAAGAATGAAAACATGTCTAAGATCACACATTCATTTATCTCACAACTAAGGCTGATACTTGGTTAGCTAGTTTTTGCTTTTTCACAAAGTCAAAATACTAATTATTCAAAATGAATGATTCCTCCGGCTTAGGTCTCATTTTGTAGCATGTTCTCATTGTTATTGTACAGCAAAGAAAGTTGTCTCACCCGAGCAGCATAGTAATCAATGTTTCTTCTTGGTTTCTTTATGCTAAACACATGTGGTAGGCTTGCCAATCTAACAATTTTTCAAGCCATTTGTGTTCAGATCGTAAAATCTTGATCTCTTCGATCTTCTCATGAATCGGTTCAATCATGTTTGAAATTTTTATGTTTCTCAAACTCATGTCCCATTAATTTTTTTGTCCATCCAATGTTTAGATGTTCGAGAGGAGCCCAGAAATGGAAATGGACGAGGTTCTTTTGAAGCAGGCACCAAACTAAATGTTCATGCCAAAGAATTCACCATGTCTCCACCATTGCAAAACTCTAAGTAAGAAAGTTTTTTCTTTTTTTGCAGCAATGGTGGGATGGTCATAAGTACCAACACCTAAATTGTACATCAGTGAGGAAGGTCTGTGTTTTGAGGTGTAACTGCCATCTTTCTAGAATGTTGGCATTGCAATTTTGTGGTCATCATAAATTTTTTTCCAATAAGTAACTCACTGAATTAATATTTTAATTCTGAATTGAAATTAATGTCAAATGTGATATTTTTTCTTTAAAAAGGAGGATAAAAAGAAGCCTGTCTTCAAGTAATCAATTTTTTTTTTTTTTTTTTTTTTTTTTTTTTTTTTTTTTTTAACTGGGCATGTTGGAAGATCATGATTCTCAGGACTAGGTACGGAAAAGCAATCTCTAACTTTCATGAAAGTTTTAGTTAGTCACTCACTCACTCAAAGATATGGACAGAATCAATGCAATTAGTAACTCTTTTTAGTCTTTAAAAAACATGATGGGGGTCACTTAAAAATAGTAGGCAGGTAAGCTGTCAAACGGCTCAAAAGGAACTTAGTCAACTTTCCGAAATCTTATGATAATTTTTTAACATGCTTTTTTATAAGATAACTGATCAAATGGTCTCATGTCATCAAGTTGCCACCTTTGGCGATGGAGGGTCGGACCTTTGAAACAATTGTTAACATTGAATTCCCTTAAAGTAAACTAGGGCTTTGTAAATGCCCCCCCCCCACATGATTTTTAAGTAGAATTTTGATGATTAAAGTAAAAAAATGCGTTTATCAGATTGCAACGCTGCAATTTTCAGTTTATTTTTAATTTTTTTTAAGTAAAACTGAGGAACAGATTCTATTGAAAATTTCTATGGCTTTCCCCACTCATTTTAAAAAATCAAAAAATATTTCAAGGCAAAAATTTGACTAGGTTTTCTTGATGAAAATAAAACATAATAGGAGGTTTTTAAATGTTCCAATTGAGAAAAGAATTTTTGTTTTCAGCCATTGATATTTCTTAGGCCTCAAACTTCCAGCTTTCAAACCTCCTTGACTGCCGGTAATTGCTGAGACTTATACATGGTACCTACCCTTGTAAAGCTGGCCAAGATTCCTTTGCTGCATTTTATTTTTCCTCTTAAAATTTCTACCGTTAAGACAACGGTACTCTACTTGTCATATTTTTAGGCTTTTAAACGGTTTTATAACTTGCAACATTTTCTAAGAAATTAATGGCTTAATGGTCCTCCAAATTTTTCAATGCTGTAAGGTTGTGTTTGGAGGCATACCATCGATGATAGATAAATCAAGAATTATTTGCAGTGACAAGATTAGCTTGTCACTCACTTTATCTCATCTCATAGCAGTCAGACTAATCATTTCAGTAGATAAATGTATCTTTAATTATGTTGTGTAAATATGTTCTCAGATCAAGTGGTAATTTGCATCAGATCATGAACAATGGGTCAGTGCCTGTTTCAGTGTCTTTCCAGTCAAACCGACTTCAACACTCAAAGTCAAGTGGTAATGTGCTGCACACTACTTCTCATGTGCAACCACAGGTATTTACTGATATTCCCGTATCATGATCATTTTGGTCCATATTAAAAATTATAATCACTCTGATAGGATTTTTATCTGGATAAGGAAGGTCCTACAGTCAACCAACCATTGCAATGATACCAAACTCTTTTCAAGAATTTTTACTTTCAGAATTGGTTATTTGTTTAATCTAAGTATGTCTGACAGTCATTGTGTCTGTTATCCTGAGTTTAAATTCCTTGCTCATGGATAAAGAAAGATAGGTCATATGAACTAAACATCCAGTGTTTGATATGTATCAACTGGATTATTCAGTTTATCAAGACGTTAGATCTGTGTACTTGTTGCTTGATCTGGCCACCCAAAACTCTCGGTTTTAGAATTGAAAATAAAGTTTGTGGTTGTACAGACCTAACATTTCTTGAATAAAAAAACAAAATAATTTATTAGATGTAATGACATCAAACGATTAATGTTTAGTTTTCATGGCCTAATATTTTTTTCTGTCCATGATATAAATTCAATCATGAAAAATTCTGCATGTGTTGCAAACTGCTGTCTCTGATACCTGGAACTGTAGTTCACATCAACTTGATGGGGAAAAGTATACAGCCAACTAATGAACATTATTTTGTGAAATTTTTACTGATTTTTGTTTAGACATCTTGTGGAGAATATCCTGTAAAAATTTTGAACCATAACATTCATTGGTTTTTCTTTTAAAACGAAGTAAACACATCAGGTGTTTTGAAACTTCGCAATTAAGATGCCTGACAACTTTTTTCTTTAATTATGTCTTGAACTGCTATGTAAAATTAAAAATCTAAGTTAGAGGTGTTAAGAATTGACAGATGATTTACTTTTACTTCATTTTCTTCTCTGTGTGCAAAGATCAAAATATTAAAAATTGAAGAATGGAGATCTTTTACGTATACCAAGTTGATAAATTAACTGAAAAAAATTTTGAGAACTATAATTTACATAAAAATCACGAAACATTTTAACTCACAACCAAGCTGTGAGTCCTGCTCTATAGAAATACCTATTATACATATGAATGAATCTGAAAATTCCCATGACTTCTAAAGGCCTCGATACCTAATACTAGAAATATCAACAGTTTTGGCCCAAAGGTAATTTCCTTCGTTGTTCTGAAGTACTTTTTATTTCCTTTTCAGAGCCCTCCTCTGAAAGTGCACTTTGCTCCGGTAGAAAAAAAAGGCGACACAAACAACAATTACTCCAAGCCATCCTACAATCAGATCCAGGCCTCAGTGCAGAACGGGCAGTTGTATAACGTTCCTGATCACTTGCGGTTAAAACGATCGAAAAGTATGAACGATGCATTGAAAAAATCAACAGATATCAGCGATCTGGGACCATTACCTTCTGATATACACTCTCTTATTCAAAAAGCTAGTCTGAGTAAGTAATTTCCCAGCAGCGTATAAGTTTTTGAATCAAAGCAATACCTTGCTTATCCAGAGATTTGTGGCAGAGTCCTTTGCGGAATTTTGGAAATACTGGATAGGTGGATAATGTTCTCTTGAATAGGTACATCATCTCTTTTAGTTTTTTCTAAAATATGCGAGAATTATGTTCATTTTTTTGGCATGGAGAAACAATGATTCATTACCCACAAATCATTAAAAATGAACACATACCATTCTAGGTACATATTATTTTTTTACTTAAAAATGTAAGAGAAGAGGATTTGCGATTTTATTTCCAGCAACATTTCTAAGTATTTTCTTTTGCTCAAAATTTTCTTCAAACAGTTCTAACAATCATCACTAGTGACTGCTGCTTCATTGTAAAAGAAAAACTATCTTTTTTTGCGGGAATAAATAACATTCTTAGTCTGTCCTTTTATCACATATTATCAGTCTTTTCAATTGTTGTAGATAGTGTAGGTATCTACAAAAAGCAGTAATATCTTATCACTGTAATTGGAAAATATGATCCATTATCTGTAATCTGATCATTTAAAGGTAAAAAAAAAATCAATTATTATCATACGGGGAGTGTAGAATTTGTTCAATGAAAATTTGGTCAGCAGAGGGCTTTACTGTAATCATTTTTACTGTAGGTAAATGAGTAGTGAAAATATGCAAAATTCATTGCAGAATCAGCTCATAGTTATCATGTTAACATTTTTGGTGCCAGCAGTGAATTTCCTTTTGAAGTGCTAATCTAGCGCATATACATTCTCATTTCACTTATTTTTGATAATTTGTAACTGGAATGTTTTTTTTCTAGATCCGAATGATTTAAGTCAACGGCATTTAATGAGTTCAGCAAAATTTCTAGTCGAAAAAGCGGTTGAAAATCGAGAATATTCAAACGCGGCCGCTAAAATTTGTGCTACAATAATAGAGGTACTATCTTCATTGTCCTCAGTTTGTCGGCTTTTTTGCTTTCACCTTTTATGATTGAGAATGACCCTCAACATAGACGTATGCACTCATTCTATGTTTTTTTACGCACTCTACATCTTCTGTTTTTTTCTCATGAATTCTTGCTTTTACAAAGAAAAGCAAGTGAAACTTGATTTCTTCCTGTCAATCGTGCCAAATGATTTCACATTGCAGATCAGTAAAAAATAAAATAATCTGTCCAAAAACCATGTTGCCATGTCCAATTTCAAGAGGATATCGCCCTTCAAAAAACATGGTTATCACATCGAGGGTTACATACCATGGTGCATGCACTATGGTGGAGGGTGAAGTCATACTCAGAGATGATATTTTCCTAAAGGCAGTATTCCTATTTGTATTGGAAATAGAAATTAGGCATTTAGACAGATCTTATTGCTAATCTATAAGCTGAAACTATCGACCCATCCATAATATTGCATATTTTGTTCAAGTTCCCCCGATTTTTTAAAGGTTAAAAAGAACCTCAAAGGGATCTTGCAGTGTGATTGCATGTAGAAATGGTTCAAAATTTTGCCTCCATGGACTGAGGTCTCTTCTCCTGCGGACGATGACTTATTTATGTACTTAATCAGCTTTTATAAATTGATTGAACTCTCAAAAGTAAACAAGAGCCAAAATTGGCCTTCCTCACAGAAATTGCCGTCTTTATATTTTGTAGTAGACAACACATATTTTCCCGAAATATTTTGGTCTTCGCAACTCTCAATTTTCTAGCTCTGAAACAGAGGCCCTACAAATGTGGCTCTAAAGGCCAAAATCAGCAGAAATTCAAGTTAGTGTGTATTTTTTTTCAGAAGCACTCTCTCCAACAAAAAATTTTTCTAATTCAAGATTAATTTTAAAACAATCCTCCGTCTAGACATTTAGTGTTGAATTATTAAACATTCACTGAATCAGGAACTCCATTCATTTTTTATCATTTCCAGTGTTAATCCTATACCCTGTCCAGTGAGTTATGTCACTTGGTAAATGGGAATAAAAAGTGTGATGTAGTGGCGGCAAACCGCTATCACCCTCGTCATCTGTCAATGTGCGGAAACAGTCTCTCATCGCACTATGGAACGCGGTGCTGCAGTGATGTACTATTAGCTATATATTGGGAACAAATCAGTTGAAGGTCGACTTAATCTCTTTTAGGCGCTTTAAGCTTTGTCAGAGGCTATTAATCTTAACATGAGTTCTTACATTGGCGATGATCCAAGAATGTTAAGATAGAGATTTTTTATTGGTGATCAATACTATTCTCTATGTGACGGGAAGAAACCAGCCGCATCGACAGGTGACAAGAGTAAGAGTGGCTGCGCCGCTACCACATCGTTCTTTTCATTCGGATATACCAAATGCCATAACTCGCTGGACAGGGTATAATACATACTTAGTATGAAACAGTTATCATAAAATAATACGCAAATATCCTTGTTTAATGGAACCTATTGCTGTAGATAAAAGTGAAAAGTCTGGGGTAATGTTGCAGCATTATTGCTTGAGATTGAGGTCGCAAAGAAGACTTGTCTTGGCACTTGCATTCTTGCCGAATATTATTGCAATTGTGGAGAATTTTTCATGATTCACTCTTCCATTCTCTTATTTTCTTCTAGAAATCAAGAACAGAAACTTTTGTTGATTCTCTATTCAACACTTGTCAATTCATCTTCAAAGAGCGTGAAAAGCTTTTGCGAACGGCACCATCCAAGTATCCAGCGTTTTTGGCCTTCTTGTACGAATTGTACACCCAAGTAAGTAACATTCCAACATGCACTTCTATTATCAATCGTAATATCATGTATTCATACCTAGTTTGTTAATGATTGACATCATAAGAAACCCTTTCAGGGATATGGTATTAAATTGTAAATAAAAGTAAATGAATAAGAGTATTAATTAAATGAAAAGCTCTGAAAAAATATCTCAAATGGATGTGTCTTTAAAAATTGTTGTTGACATGCTGTGTTCTTATATCTGGTTCATCCTACCTAGCATACTAGACACATTTTTTAAGGTTTCAAGCGAAAAGTTTTGATAACCACAGTGAAGTTTTAAAGGAGATCAGGATGGTTAAAAAAGTAAAGGAAAATTTCACACTATAACACATCGCTAATGAAAATTAGGAAACACGTCTTGTAAACGATGATGTTACCAATTTTTACTTGTATGCTATTCCAACAAAAAGCAACTGGTGTAATGTGTGATCTCTTCTATCTTATGACTTTTTCGAGCAGGCATCTTGGTTGGTTTTATAAAACAAAATGAAAGTAAGATTGTTGAAACATTCTTATCAAGGGATGTATTTTTTGATTTGCACCATTGAGACGTAATCTTGTAGAACATCACTCTTTAATCGACTGCAACGTCTTTGACTAATTTTGGCTTTGTATCATTGCAGATGAAAAGCAGAGAGCCGAAACTCAAAACAGCCTACAGCAATCTCCGAACTTTGACACTCATCGCATCGTGTCTCCTCGACTTCCTCAACCAAGGTGTCATGAAGGTCAACAGCGAAGTTGAAAGCTTATTTTTTGTTTTCAGCTCCATTGGGCAAGATTTGGAAGTATTTTTACCAAATAAGCTCAATGAGATAATGGACCAGATGCGCATTCAATTTTTAAAGCAAACCACTTCGCCTAGTTTTCGGAAAACTTTGCTGCAAATGATCGAACTAAGAGCAAGCAAGTGGGCTCTTCCAGTTGAAAGTATTATTTACTACTATCCTAGCAATAGCCAAAAAAAGTAAAACTGCCGTTCTCAGTTAAAGCAACTGATTCCCAACTGAGTCCTTAATTGACAAACATTTTTTAGTTGGCTCAAATGTAAAAAGATATCAACAAAGAAGGCAATTTCTTATTTTGATTTAACGTTCTTAATTCAAAATTTCATCGCAGAACTTTCCTGCTTTCTGAAAGGTTTTTTCATACTTTTGACAGTAAATTGTTTGCTTTGTGTTTTGCTTTAAAAAATTGACTATTTTTAAATTCTGTATCAGTGAATTCTGAGAAACGTTTGACACAAGTATGTAAATCATTTTTTTTATTTCAAAGATTCCACCAGATTTTACTGTCACAATCTTATTATTACTCATGATTGATTTGTAATGATGAATTTTTTTATAAATTTTAAAGAAGAAACAAATATTGAAATAATGATCAAATTCATTATCTCTTTGCTCCATTCGCTCAGCACTATGAAAAAATTATATGAATATGTACCAGGTACATATTTTTGAACTTTTAATACCGCCAAAGGGCAGGAAGGAAAATTTAAAAGGTGTGTAAAGATATCTTTTAGGCAAAGGAGTTTGTATTTTTTTAAGGCATGACAAAAGTATTATAACTGAGATTGATTTTTTTTTTTTTTTTTTTTTTTTTTTTTTTTTTTTTTTTTTTTTGTACTAAACTGAGGACAAAAGCTAAATTGCGCATTTGGCAATCAAGGTATTAAACCAGTTGTTGAGTAAATAGTTTTGTGAAAGTTCAAAGATTCCTCATGCTGAAAATTTACCTTGTTTGTGTTTTTTCCTTTTTCTCTTAATGTTTCTCTTTCCTTTTTTATCGTGTAAATATGAATGCATCTCCAATCCCGATGACCACAACCTGAAAATACTAGTCGGTTACCTCGTCTAAAATGTTACTTACTCTTTCCTTTATTTATTTATTCTATCCAATTTGTTTAATATTATGATAATATCCTTTTGATTTCTTTGTTTTTTTACCCTGAACTTATTTTCGTGATGTTTCTCTTTATTTAGTGTTTCACCTTTTTTACTGTTAATATTTTTCTATGTTAAGTTACGTTCTCAGATTGTTTGAGGGATTTAAACTTAATGCTGAGTTTTTCTTCTCGTTTCTCATATCCTAACATACCTTTTTAGTGTAAAGAAGAATGAAATGTGTTTATTTGTGCCTTTTATGTGCCTTATGTGGTGTCACTCTCATTCTGAAGAGTTGCGCCTATTTGGTTCGCTGTGTGTATTACCTCTCAGATCTGTCAAAATTATTACTGAAAAGACTTATCGTTTTTTAATGTTATTGGTCTCTATAAATGCCATACATATCACAATGGCAGAAAAAATTAATCTTGCTTAGTTCTGTTTGATGTTTTGTACTCTTTGTGATGGTATTTATTCAGTAAGAATTAAGAAGTACCTTTGATGCTTAGGAATACAACTATATCTAATAGGAAAACTATTTTTGATGTTAGAAATTTAATGTTTTTTCACCTAATTGTATTATTTTTGTAATTTGTTCATGTTTTTGAAATTGAATTCATTGAATAAAAGGAAAGAAAAAGTCATATCATGCATTTTGTTATATTTTTATAATTTTTGCAACCTCTTTTCAACAAAATCCTCCATAGTAGTAAGTCAAGAATTTTTGTGCAACCCTGATAAGGTGGTAAAAGT